GTGTGTGGGGGGGGGGGTTCAGGGGGTCATGCAGAGCCCCCCATGCAGCATGGGGCAGTGGGGATCTCCACCCCCCCCGCCCGGCAGCGCTTGCTGAGCTGGGGCTTTTTTTCCCCCAAGTGCTGGGAGCTGGGGTGTGCAGGGTGGCCATTGCTGGTCTGGGAGAGGGACAGGGGATGGGCCTGGCCTGGCTGATTTGGAGATTCAGCTGAATCGAATCAGGACAGTGATTCGAATCACTGAATCAAATCGCTGTCCCCCGAATTGGCCAAATCTGAAGCGAACACTAGCCACTTTGCACATGCCTAATAGTCACACCCACTCCCTGATGCAGATCCCATGCTGACCACCTCTCCTAAGGTTGCTTCCCATGTAGCTTTTTCCTGGCAAGATCCAATGAAAATTGTGCGAGCTCTCTAAACAGCCCAAGCCAATGGGCCTTTGCTATGGTGGGACTAAAAAGACTCCAGAGCCAGAAGCAAAATCTCCTTTGGTTTTGTCTCGGTACAAGCATTTTGTTTACAATTTCTGGATCCATACAAGGGGGATCCTGAAGGTAGGCAAGGGATAGACACTACTTCCTACAAGGTTTAGATTCCTAGTCAAATTTCACAGTGTTCTGTGCCCCAGGCCCCCCAGACACAGAAGGTGTGATGCAGATAGAGAATCAGTGGCTTCATAAGCAAGGCACCTGAGATTACACCTGTAGTCAGTCACAGAGATGCCTGTGCCCCGTGTATCTTCATACAGAATATGAGATGCTAGCCACATAGTCTAGAGCCATAGTCTGGAGGGTTGAGCTTCGAATATTTTCAAAAACTAAGAGGAGTGCTGAGAAATCAAGAAAAATGCCTTAATATAGATCATCCCTGATTTCAGTCTAAGATTATTGCTTTACATGCTGTTCTGCTCAGCTGCCTTGTACCAGACTTGACATTTTTCATTTATTGGTACCTACACATTGTGGCTGTAGAGGTGACAAGAGGCCTGCTTTCTGCTTGGGTTGCCATTAATTAAGTCTCCACCCTGGTTTCTCTCTGCCAGTGGAGGACTGCTGTTTCAGACTCACAGCCTTACTAGCTGGTGTCGCTGTAGCTCATGAGGTCTAGCATTTGCTGCGACTCTCTGGTTAATTGGTTTAACTGGGACAAGCCCTCAGTTTCTCAACTGTCCTTCTGGGTTTTTATAAAGGAAAGACTTGTGTCTTCTGTATGTGTTTGCTCACTCTGGTGAATCACTCTCCCTTAGCTGATCTCTCCTCCTTCCAAGAGGCTGAAATGACAGCTGCTGAGCTCCCACATTTCATAATGTTCAAACCACTGATTTTCTTAGTTCTTTAATGATTTCTCTAAGTGTCAATGGTACTACAGTGATTTTCAGTGTGCCTTATTATTTTGTCTTGCTTTGCTCAGTATGATTGGTGCTCCTGGATTCCCAATTCTCCACCAACTATGCGCTGCCCTCCCCCTACAGAAAAGGGCACAGTCACCATTGAAAAGATAGTGGAGACCTTGCCGGACAGAGGACGCTCTTGTTGGCATCTTGGAGCTGTCTGGGCCTTGAGCCAATTCCAGGAGAATGAAGTAAGTCTAGGAACCTTCTCTAGTCTTTCTCTAGTCAGTTGAATTGTAGAAAATGAGCCCAGTCAGGGCTTCAGTCAAGAGGGCACAGTGGGATTAGCAGTGTTGATAAGTGTAGGAGGGCTATGGCAGAAACACACAAGCTTGTAAGTCAAGAGACCATGGTGCATCTCTGCCACTGACTCGCTGTGCTTCTCGTTAATGTTTTTCCTCTTGTGTAAAATGGGAGAAACAGTAGTAGCTACATCTTGGGGGAGCTCTCAGGCCAAATGTATCTGAGCATTTATACACATATCTTTTAGTTCTCAGAGACACTGGAGATCTGCTGCTTCAGAGCAGACTTGATTATTCGAGTCTGCTCCACACAGGAGCTGACGTGCACTGTGCTGTGCTACTTGCAGTTGTATAAGTGGTGAAATGTGTGTCAGCATGGAGAAGATGGTGGCAGTGTGCTTTTGAACTAAAGCACCCCCAAGGTGTTTTAGTTCCAAACTGCACCACCACCATTTTCTTTGCCACTTACACAACTGCAAAGCGTTGCAGCACTGGGCAGTTTTCAAAGCACCCAGAGCTGCGGCACTTGCACATGTAAAAATGCCCCCAGTGCCTGCAGAGCACTTTCTGAAATCCTTAGGCTGGAGATGCTAGGGGGAGGGAAATTAAAATGAAACCTCTCAGGAAGGAAGGAAGTCTTGACTAAAAGGACACAGGGGACACTTACATATACTGGCCTGAAGCAGGGATTTGCATTTTGTTTTAGTCTTGACAGGGAGAAGGTGGTACACTGCAGGACAGCATAACAATTCTCACAGGACAATTGGGTTATAGGGATCTCTTTGTGTCTTCCTCCATTAGCTGTTCCTGGGTACGTATCCAGATGAGCACTTCACAGAGAGGCCAGTAAAACTGGCCATGGAGAAATTCCGCAAGAAACTCGATGAGATCGTCAGCTTCATTAGTGAAAGAAACAAGAACAAAAAGCTCCCTTACTATTACTTTTCCCCTGACCGGATCCCCAACAGCGTAGCTGTCTGAATGCAGCTCCATTAGGGGTTTGAAGGATGAGGAAACTAATATCCGCTTTCCTGTGATATGTGCTACTTATCTATAGACCTTCCAGGTTGAATAAAATGAGTAATATAGACTGTCTTCCAAAATGGACCCTTAGCATCATCTGACTTTCAAAGTAAGTTTGGTTGCTACAACTAATTTTACAAGCTAATTCCTATGAAAAGCCATCAGTTCAGATTGGTTCCAGAAGCTTAAATCCAGTAAAAAAATAAGCTTTTCTATATCTTAAAAGCAATTGCAAATATATCCATTATTCCCCCCCAGTTGAAACTTAGATAAAATGAAAAACTGTACAGTGCAAAATAAATAAAGTGGCCTTGTGCGTGAAATACCGGAAGTGACAGTGCCTAGATACAGGCTGAAGAAGAAACTGACTAGTCTGTTCATAGCTCGTGTCTTGTTCGGCTGATCGATGACAATAAACAGCTGCAGGAGCAACAAGTTAATTAGATTTTACTTTTTTCCCCAATTTGATAAGTGCTAACAATATTCAGAGGAGAAAGAAGTACATTTATGTTTTTAAAAAAAATCAGACTTTAAAGAAAATGTTTAATTATTTCACTACATTCTGAAATGTTCTGATAGAAGCAGAAATACAAGCAAAATTAGAAGTAGAAATCGAGGCAGAAATCAAAACAAGATATCCTGATAGGGATGGGGAAACTATTCTCCTGCTGTCACTTTCTTACTGTTCTCTATGGGAAGTGACACAACCTCACTCATGCAAAACAGGCACTTTATATCCAGGTATTATTTTTTACACGAAACTTAAGCATTCTTTTTTCAGCCTGTATCTACAGATTTTATACTGTTATTGTGCATATGCAAACTTTTGCTCACACAGCAAAAATGCAAGCTGAACACACTTTTACCAGCTTTATTTTTCATAAGAAATTGGCTGTTTTTTAAGGTTTGTTTCTTTTTCTTTTCTTTTGCTTTGGTGTTTGGTTTATGCACAGTCTGGCTTTCAGTTTTATCAGAACAAATCTGAAGTTGTGGCACATGATACTTCACAAGTCCCAGGGTTAACTGCTAAGAAAGGGCTAGAGAGTTGAGTCTACTAAGTACATTTCTGCACTATCTTCATTAGAACGGCTCTTTTGTTAAGGAATCATTTTTGTACAAAAGAGCTTTTCCCTGTGCACCGTATATATCCAAATACAGAAATCAACCTGCACTGAAGTAGAGGCAGAATGCTCATAGAAAGAGGTGATGGAGAATTTCTAAGTGTTTTGCTTCTATGGTATTTTAATTGAAAACCTCAAATCTAGACTAGGGATCTTCATAGTATGTTTAAATAAAGTGATAATGAAAGTCAAAATGTAATTTTGGAAACATGGAAGGTGTGTGGTTTTGTTAGCAACACTTTTGATTATTTTGCCCAAACTTTGCTCTCTGTAAATATATTTCCATGGCCTGCAGTATGTATTCCCCCTACCTAAGAGTTTCTTTTGCTAATGGAATAAAACTGAAAGACAGCAACAATAACAAAGGCTGGAAATATCTTTATTTCTCTGTAATTTTGAACATGATCAACTAATTACCAAATATCCATAGGTACTGAAAATCTATAGGAACAAGCAATGCTTTCTGAATCAACACATCTTCTCTTTGGAGAAGGTCAGATTCCCTACAGTTAGAAAAGTATGGTCATTTATATTATTAACCTGTTTTAGAAAATGGTATCATGAAAATCTATATCTGCCTCTATTACATATTCCCAGCTCTGATTCATGGAAGTGGAAAGAGTAGTAGATTCCATGCATTTTACAGTACACCACTTTTCCCCTAGCTAAATAGTATCAACAAATGTGGAAAGTAAAACCATTTCATGCTTGAGACAGTTTACTTAAAACTGATTGTACTTTTTTTTGACCACAGTCTATGAAAAAGTGATGACCGAAGGAGCAGAGTCATGCATTTATTTAGCAATCAGGAGGAGTTAAGTAGGAGGGGATCAGATATCTTTGCACGCACACCACACCAAGCAAACATCAAAAATGTTTCACAACAAAATACTGCAATCTGTAGCCTAGCCCTCTTCATCTGTGTGCTGTTTCCTTACATCTTTGGGGCTTCTCTCCTTCTGCCTATGTGTTGAAACAAACTGTGTGGTCAAGAATTCTATTTCTTTATTTTAAAAATATTGCAACTAATGGATGGGAGATCATTGTCCCTCCTGTACCTGTTTCCTTCTTGGTGTTGGGAGAAAGGTGTAATTGCTATGTATGGGCAGAACGCTGGCTCTACATTTTAACAGCTGGCCTCAGCAGTCTGAGTCAGCCCCAGCAGGGGTTGGGCAGCAGGGGGAAAATGACTTTTAATAGGTAGGGGATAATGGATTTACAGGGTTGGAAGGGTCTTCAGGGTCATCTAATCCCACCTCTTCCACAGATGCAGGATGCGCTGTTCCTAAGCCAGCCCAAATACTAATTCTGATTCACTCAATTCCACAAATGAAACCAGTGTATTAAAACACTAAGTCCATGGAGGTGATAGACAATTTGCATGTAGCCTCCAGCCCCACCCCCACAGCTGTTCAGAGTCCACCAGGCACCTGCCTTACTGCAACACTAAGTGAAATCCAGACTAAGGTTTTCCCTGCAACTGGGGCACAGGCAGGTCTTCATTCCTCTGTGGTGACTCTGACACTTGGGAAGTGTGGGGCATAAACATTTCTCTCCTTTGAAGCTGCTCTTGTGATGGATTTTTTGTCTCTAATAAGCAGGGATCTGGGTTTTCCATTTGCTGCAGAAAAACATGGATTTTCTCACGTGAAGGAGAAAAATATGGGTTTTCCTTTTCAAAGGGGAAAACTGCAAGAAGAGGCGAGTTTCTCTTAGCAGGCTGGCAGCCATCCAGCCTGCAAGGAGCTGCTTGGGGTGACTGGAGGAAGGGGACACCACATGCATCTGCATGCGGATGGGTATGTGGCTGGCATACTGCCATGCAGGGTGGTGGGAGCAGCCCTGGCAGCTGCTTGCAGGGAAGTCTATGGGTGGCAGGAGTTGGAGGGTCAGGGCTTGGGGACTGTCTGGGGGGCTGAGGAGCATGCGAGTATGGGTGGAGGGGGAGGGGATGGGTGCCTGCCAAAAGCTGCATATGAATTTTATAGCAGAGGCTTATCCAAGGGAACACTAATACACCTGTTACTACTAGGTGCATGATAGTGGAAAAGATAGGTAAATGGGGACCTTCCTACCACAGATCTGGCATACACAGGGTATGGGAGAAGCAGTTTCAGACACTCAGTGGGACTTGTGTTTAAGAGTAAAAGTGCTTTGGTTTCATCTTTATTGAATTATCCTCTAAATAAACATTGTGTATTACAAGGAACTCTATCAAACTGATTTGCCAACTTACACAATTGAAAAGCAGGAAGTGAAGAAGAATGTTCTTTATAGCGGCAAATTCAGAGGAAAACTTAGATAAACAGGAAGACAGATTAGAGTTTGGCACAGTTGCTCTCTCAAAACTCTGCTTGCTTTCTAGAGATTGTGCTGGGAACTTTCATAATTGCAGAGGCCTTTGGGGTATCTTGTTGCTAATTGTCCAAAAGTTGGCACCTTCAGTAATATAGGAAACCATGGGGGATTTTTTGCTGCTGGCTTGGAGGAAAAAGTGGGGCTTGCTAAATCATTGAAAACACCTTTGCTAACTAACAGCTGTTGTGTGTGGTTTCTTACATGAATGCTGTCTGAGTTGGAGTCTGCTGAGCTGATGAATTCTTTGTTCTGGAATCTTCTGCATTCAGAAGACAGCTCTATTAAAAGGGGGGGGGGTGTGAGACAGAGAGAAATGGGGTTGGTTTTCCATTTTTTTTGTTTTGCATCTCTGTACTCAGGCCAAAATAGTCAAACCTGAGAACTTACGAAGTTAGGATGTCACATTCATGTGTAGCCACCTACATAAGCGGCCTGTTTTTTCTGAGGTTTTGAGGACTCTCAAACTCCACTGACATCCTTGAGATGCTCATCATTTTTGAAAAGCAGGCCACTATCATTTAGGTACCTAAACACAAATGTAGCAGCTGAACATTAAGCACTCAGAGTTGAACATATGGCCTGTTGATATTACTGGTGGGAATTACTCTTTCCATGTTCATACCAACTTTCATCCAAGGAGTCCAATGTACTTTACAAACTGATTCGTTGGGCCACTGCCCACTCTGTGGTAGTTAAGTAACATTGCTATTTTATGGATGATGCAAGTGCAAATGTTTGAAAACAAAGTGCTCAGGAAAATATTTGGCGCAGTACAAGAAAAAGGAGTATAGAAGAGAAGATACAAGTAGAAGCTTGTGGATTTTTTACAAAAGACCTGATGTCTTGAGGAAGATAAGAGCGCAGTAAATGAAATGGGCAGAGCATATCATGAGAACTGGCATGAGGCAGATTTTGGCACCTGAGGTGGAGGGTATCAGACCTCAAGGTAGACCAAGGTAATAATGGAAAGATAACATAAAAGCTGATCTGGAAGGAAAAGATGAAGATATGACAAGGTGGAAGGAGATTGCACAAGATAGGAGGAGATAGAAAGCTTTAGTTAAAGTGGTTATTAGGGCTGTGCAAAGTTTGAATGCTGATTCTATTTGGAGGAGATTCGGTCTGATTCGGTGGCCGAATCTGAATTGAATCAGGGGACCAATTAAAAGGTCTGAAATCATTTCAAAGCTCTCTGAATTGATTTGGAAAAGATTCAGAGAGCATCGGTGTTTTGGGCAGTCCCCACCCACTGCAGCAGGGAGCTGGACACAGACTCCGTGCTGGTAAGTAGGGGGCAGGGGAAGGGAGGCTGGAGAAAAGGGGAGGGGACCATGGGGGGACCCCTGACAGGCCCCATCCCCTGCCTGCTCTCTCAGTCCCCCCTGAGTGCCCCCCCAACCCCTACCCAACAAGCAAAGTTTCTAACATGATCATTGAAGAATACAGGGCAGTCTAGGGGAAAGAGCTTTAATGGTGGGGGTCTAATACAGACCACCCAAACAAGGGGAAGAGCTAGACCAGGAATTCTTAAGTCAGCTCACAGAGGTAG